GTAGCAAGCAGCAGGAAAGCGAAAGAATCGTAACAACCGTGGTGTTCTATCTCGCGTGTGTACACGCTTATTGAGAATTCACGCCGACCCAAATAGCCCCTGGAATCCGTAGAATCTCGAGTCTCGCGTAACAGACATGTCGTCGAGTCGTATGTCATTGAATATTTCGCGGCACGCGGATTAATCGGAAGCTTCCCTGATAAAGGAAACAAGGGGAATAAGAGAAGAAGCCTCGTCTCTCTTTTTGTCCATTTGTCCAGTTTATCGGGTATATCGCGCGATATGGTACACGTGGTGGAAATTACGTAGTGTGCCATCGTGTTGTTACGTGCACGATGATACACTTTGTGATATTAGTTATTCAGCTTGGTGGTTGCTGGCTAAAATATTTTTAGGTTAATAGGGGTAACTCGGAAAGAGAACGATCCGCGGGGAATAGGAACGGTCACGATTGTTCCAAAGGAAAACAGAGAAATTCTCCCCTTTTCTTTTTCTCCATTTTTTTTTTTTTTTTTGGTTCTATCTTTCCTTTTTATTGCTCTTTGTTGGCCCGCAATGTGCTACGATCGATGAAACTGTCGCATTTATTCGTCGTGGTGCGTGATGTTGAAGCACCGAGCCCTCATAAATCGACCCGACAGAGGGAAAAGTGTGTCGATCGGTTTCCAAGTTGGTTTCGCGAAGCTACCGCCGTTTTTTTCCATAAATTACATTTCGCGACGAGTCATCGGTGCCAGCGCGCTGCAGTACAAATATTTTTACTTTACACTGTGCAAAACACTGCACTGTCGTATATGTTGGAAAAAATAGTCGGATCATTTACTCGAATTATCTTCACCGCGTGTATCGTGGATGTTAAGCCATTCAACAACATTTTAAAGTAGTCTAGTAAATGATCGTTGGTAGGCTGTTAGCTCTTTTGTGTCAAAGAGTGTGACAAAAACAGCGGCGAAGTTTGTGCCATTCATAGCTTGTGACGTTATGCCCCGCAATTTCGCAACAAATCTAACGCGAGCACGATTATATCTTTAGATTCGATCGGTCTACGAGTTAAGGGACAATTTCCGCGTTCGAAGTCGTTCAAGTTTCGTCTTTGCTATGTAATATTATGTAATATCGGAGACCTACATGTTATGCATATGTACACTATCTGTAACTTAAAGTCACATTCGTCGTGAAAGATATAATTAACAAATAATGACTGTCGTTTCAGGGAGAATTATCGATCATTTCTGATTCGAGGAATATGAATCATCACCGTCTTTTCCCAACGTAAATTCCGGCTAAATTCGCATTTTTGTAACGTAAGGCCGCGAATCATTCGGCAAACAGATCGTCCGATCGTGGCGCAAGAGCATCGAAATTTAACACTAAACGTATCAAGCGGCGGGGTCAAATGACCCCTTTTTCAAAATTTACTTTAAAATCGTACATTCGT